TCTGTCTTAGAGGCTGTGTGTTAGCTTCACCCTCTGTCTGGAACACATTCCCCCAAAGATCCACATGAATAACATCTTTACTTTTTCCTAGTACTCTGGGAGAGGTGGATGGATCACCTCGCTCAGGAGCTCGAGACCAGCTTGAGCAAGAGTAAGACCCCATCTCTACTAAAAAGAGAAAAAAACTAGCCCAGTGTTGTGGTAGGCACCTATACTCCCAGCTACTTGGGAGGCTGAGGCAAGAGGATTGTTCAGGCCCAAGAGTTTGAGGTTGCTGTGAGCTGTGATGACACACGGCACTCTACCCAGGGTGACAGAGTAAGACTCTGTCTCAAAAACCAAACCAAAACACACACACACACACACACACACAGCCTTCACTTTTTATTTATTTATCTTTGAGACAGAGCCTCAAGCTGTCCCCCTGGGCAGAGTGCCGTGGCATCACAGCTCACAGCAACCTCCAACTCCTGCCTCCTAAGTAGCTGGGACCACAGACACCCGCTACAACGCCTGGCTATTTTTTTGTTGCAGCCGTCATTGTTGTTTGGCAGGCCCGGGCTGGATTTGAACCCACCAGCTCAGGTGTACATGGCTGGCGCCTTAGCTGCTTGAGCCACAGGCGCTGAGCCAACCTTCACTTTTTCAAGCTTTGGCTCAAACATCAGTTTCTAGATGAGATCCATCCTGAACATGAAAATTGGAATATCCTCTCTCCTTCCTCACCTTCCTGGCTCTATTTTTTGTCTCTCTCTCTGTCTTTTTATGAACCATTTTTTTTTCATTGAGGCAATTTTACTAATTTTTACCTATTTTAAAATAAGTACTTTAAAAAAAATTTCTGGTTAATATGAGGGTATGAACAACCAAATCACAATATTTGAATTTGTTACACAGAGTCCCTCTTGTAGTTATGTCTGCCACCCAAAGGTGTGCCATACACCCCCACATTGTGTCCATTCAGTGGGAGCCCCAACTCCCCATTCCACTCCCCCCAGCTTGAATTGAAAGTTCAAGTTTTTCCCCGATGTGGGCATGAATTAGATCATCTACTGGCTTCATATTAGTATTGAATACACTGGATACTTGCTTTTCCATTCTTGTGATACTTTACTGAGAAGAATGCGTTTCAGCTCCATCCAGGTTAAGCAGGCCAGAGAATGTTAAGTTCAGGTTGAGTTTTCTTCAATAAGCTGGAGTGAATCTGTGGGCTCACAGCAAAAGTGGTATCTGTGAATGGTTCTCTTGGTTTAGAGAAATCAGGGAAAGATAATTGGTTCTTTCGCCAACAACCCTGAAATCTGCCATGGTTTATACACTAATGTGGAGACAGGTGTTTGCTGCAGCACAAGCTCCTTCCCCACCCTGCCCCGACACTGTGTCCTCCCTAATTTCTCAGCAACAGAGATGAGCTGGTGCCCAAAGGTCAGGGCTTTCACTTTCAGAGGTCTTGGGTGATTTGCACACAGCAGGCTGGAGAAATTCCCATGAAGCCAGCTGGGCAGCTGGTCAATGGTGCCGACCCCATGCAGAAAGTGACCGCCGCTGGGCAACCATCCGGTTGCAGAAACCCAGAAGCACTTCCCAGCAAGCTTCTATCTCCAGACCTGAAATCCAAGAAGTAATTATCATGGGGTTCTTGTCCACCAACTCCTCCACAATGGATGCACATGTGACTAAATATTAGATGATCAGGCTGAATGAGGAAAGCTTTTTGGCAGCAATGTGAGGACTCTAACCTTCAAATATTTATTCTGCTATTTCAGAATACCTGCTCCAATTTCAATTCAATAAATAAGTGCCGTGCAATGGGTTAGACCTCAGCAATTTTCAGAGTTCCCACACTGGTGGCGAAAAGAGATAAAAGAAAGAAATCCAGGCAGCCTGTAAAAAGTGCCCAGGAAAGTTCCAAACTGGCGTTAGCTTACTACGTTGCTATATTGCTGGGGTGCATTTTAGGAAATGGATGGCAGCAGCAAAAAATAAATCTGTGAGAAGAAATTTCAGTGCACTTGAATTTAAGCCTGAGAGTCATTACGAGAACTCCATTCTTCACAGAATCTTTGTCCTCATTTCCCTCAGCTTCAGTCCTCAGTCCCCTTCTCTGATGTAAAAAGTAATATTTAAGTGCCATCAAAGAAATTCTCCAAGAAACAAACACTTGGCCCAGTAAGAGAGCAGATCCTGTAGAACACTCTGGGTTAAGAAGGTGAAGCAAAGGCTATTAAGAGTAGATGGAGGGAGTGAATAGCCACACATCTTGGCCTCCCAAGGGTGTCCAGGATTGGAAACTCAGGGGTTTCCTATGTAATCAAGTTCAAGGCTGGGAAAGAATTTATTGCTTCTCTCAAGACAATGATTTTCTGTAACGCTTTCAAACCTTTAAATCAGGAAAGGTCTTAAAGGTCCCTTCAAACTTTTGGCTGACAGGGATTCACCCAAGCTGGAACTCTGCATCTCTGGGCATTGTAGGAACTCATTTGAACACGGCAGGGGAGCTCTGAGAGGGGAGGATCCGAGCAAGTGGAACCACAGGCCCATGCTCTGAGAACTCCGGGGGGTATGGTAGGTGGTCACACTACCCCTGATCCTGCCAGTTTCCATTTTAATGAGGGCTGTGTGTCTCTTTGTGTGTGTGCGTGTGTGTGTGCGCACACGCTTCTTCCTGGCCTCTCAAAATGGGAAGATGGAGAACAAGGATTGTGGAATGGGGTGCAGAACCCTGTCAGGGAAGATGCCTGGGTCCCAGCTCCAGTTCACCAACTGTGCCGGGTCACTTCTGGCTCTCCAATTTTATATCCGTCCCTCACATCCATGTCTGACCTCTATGTACCACAGGAAAGGCGACTTGCTCCAGCTCAGAGCTGCACAGAGGGCACCCCAAGCTCCTGCACTTACACACATGCTTTCATTAACTTCCCCCAAGAAGCCCTCAGAGGGAGCGCCAAGACTCAACTTCAGGGCTTTTGTTTTTACTCCTGCACACTAGCTCCGCTTACATTAGGGATGGAGGGACTTAGGGCAGAGAATGCGGTTCAGCCTAGTACCAACAGAACTTTAAACATCGTACTGAGTGAGGTGGAGGAAGCCTCCACTTTTTCTCACTCTAAAAAGGATTCCTTTTTAACACAGTGAAACATTCAAAATTCTACTCAAAACTCAGCATTAGTATTAAAAACGTAAACTCCACCTAAAACATGCTGTTCCTGAAGTGTCACTCTTGACATTTAGTGAGATACCCTGTCATTAAGTCAGCAGACTTGAAAGATATGGGGGTTTTCAGTGAATAAGGAAAGAACGCTGTGGATCATAACACCACAGTTTCATCTCCATCCTCAGAAGCACTTTGCTGATAATCACATTAATCCTAATTTCCATGATAATAGACCCAGATCAGTGTTTTGTGAGTAGGAGTGGGTAGGTGGGGCAAGATCTCCTTGGGATCGTGGGAAAAAGTGACTGCAGAGCTCTGAGCCAGGAGCTGGCTGCGGGGACAGCACCACTCTACCCAGGGGAAAGGGGGCCCTTGCTGCCTTTTATGGGGGGTGCTTCTCTCCTGGCTCGCCCCCTTCTAATGGATGCTGTGTCAAGAAGAGGAACAGTAAGCTTTTGGAGGAACTTGGAAACAAGTGACACAGAACACAGCCCCAAGAGTGACTACAGTCCCAAGAACGTGACGGACAATCAAGAAATTAAAAAGCTGCAGAAACCCTGGATGTGACTGTAAAGCAAGTGACTAATGAGGCAGATGCAGACGCAGACTCCTGCATATTGATGAGGCTGCTATCGCTATCCCAGTAACACTACTGGGTGTCTCCTTGGGAATCCTCAGACCTGGTGCAAAGATCAGGGTTCTTAAAGTCTCTCATTCAATTGTATTCACATGCCTTATTTTGTATCAAAATACCTATCAGCAGCCCAGCATGGTGGCTGCTGTCTGTAGTCCCAGCTACTTGGGAGATTTGAGCCCCAAAGTTCAAGGTTACAGTGAGCTGATTGCCCCACTGCACAGCAGCCTGGGTGACAGTGTGAGATTTTGCCTCTAAGAAAAAAAAGGAAGAAAAATTTCAGACCCTCATAGTTGACACCAACCATGCCAACAAATTTAAATTCTTAAAGAATTTCGGTGTCTTATCTGATTGCTCACATACCTCAACGTGAACAATCCTAGCACAATGAATCTGATCTAATCCTAGCACAATGAATATGAATTTGTCTTCTGCAGTCCCTTGCAAAGAGACAATGTTTCCAAGAAAACCTGTAAGTAAATTTACTGTGTTGAAAGACATTTGGAAGAAAGACAATGATTAGGGGTAAAAGATTAAAGGGGCAGGAGGCAATTCTAAAAGGTGCAGACAGAAATAAACGTATTACAAAGCGTTTCTTTAATCTTGGTTCTTCCTCTCACAAACTAACAAATCATTCTTTGTTAATGAAATTTACAGCCCTATCGCCCTCTATGGGAACCAGACTGGAAGGTACAGAGGACGTCTGAATTGGTTCACACCTCAGTGGTATCCATTGCTGCCATTATCCAGATTTTTAAAGTGTAAGCCTCAAGTTGAGAGGGACACAGCTCCCTTTTTCTGTGTTCCCAGGCTGACGGGTTAATACTGAATCACCTAGTGCTGAAGAGAGTGGACAGTCCTTCCCACTCTCACCTTAAATTTGTAGCAGCCACTGACTGCCAGGACCACCAACAGGCCTTTGCTCAAGGTCCTGGTAAGTGAGCCCCAGCACTTCCACCCCACTTCTCGCACTGCTAGAATTCCATAGAAAATAGCTGCATAGAACCCTCTAACCCCACCCTGAACCTACCAGCTCCCTGTCAAAAAAGTGCCACTTTGCTCTTAGAGGCTACAGTGAACGTTGCTTCAATCTCAAATGCTAAGCGCCAAAGGCCCAAACCTTCAGGCTAGCTTAAATGTCACCCCACCTTTACCACAAAGCAGTGATGCCCAAATGTTTGGATCATGCACCCAAAGCAGAAAAAGTATCTATAATGCACCAATAAATGTTATTATTTATTTATAAATTATAGAAGTGTACAATTGTACAATATATTATGTACATTATAAAACACACAAAAATAGAAATTTAAAAGGATGAGATTAAATACAAATAATCATTTTAACACTTTCTCAATGGATTGATCATCTGCATACCCCCAGGATGTATACACTTCCACCTGAAACAACAGCCCTAAAGCATGCCAATGATTGCTGTTATTTGGGTTTTTAGCTCAGGTTACAGAAAAATGTACAAGATCACATTTTCTTTTTAAGTTTTGCAAAATAGCCCTAGCATCAAGTTTAAATGGATGAAGACGCACGGAGCTCACTTCTTGAGGCATATTTGGTTACTCACTACCCAGTGGGTAAAATGCCATGTTATGGTTCACTGATAGATATTTCACTTTAAGGCAGACTTGGGGGTTTCATGGAGCTGAATCAGAGTATTTTGGAGGAAAATGCTTTAAAGAAACATTTAAAAACAAAGGCTCAGGATTTGCCCATTTTTTTAAGCCAACAAATTAATAGTTAGACCCTAAGAAAAATAATTCTTCTGCCTACAAGACTTACAAAAAGGGCATTCCAAACAATGGCCAAGGCAAATGGATTAAAATGAATTGCACACATCTGCCTAAGTACCAGTGAGTTCGTAACGTTTTTTTGATAGCCCCAGTATCCAATCACAGAGCTGGGCACACAGAAACTCACTATGTGATAATGATGAACAACCTACTGAAAATTATGTAAGGCTCTGAATTACACTTGAAGTAAGAACTGTTACTACAGAACACTCCAGTGCGTGGTCTAAGTGTGGTTATGAATAACATGTCGGGAGAGGCTCAGTCTATTCCTCAACACTCCCTACCCGGTTCCACATCAGTTGTTTGACACCAATACCTCTCTGCTTCCCCTAGGGCCTGAGCTTCTAGCACACAGTGGAGCAGAACAGCTAGACAGCTCATCCTTCTCCACCCGTCAGTGCAAGCTGGGAAGAGCAAAACAGAGCACAGTAACAGGTATTGTTCCATACAATGGGTTCCTTAAATTAAAAAAAAAAATTCATAAAAACTAAAAAAATTTAAAGAAAATGAACATCTAACTTTGAGACTGAGATATCCACATGGAAAACACCTCTGGGCCTCAATCAATTTTTAGAACATTAAGATTCACAATTGCTATACTTTGAATTGTGGCAACTAAGTTTCCTCCTGGAAGGTTATATTTGTTTAAATGGGAACTTTACCAATTTAGGTAAAAATATTACACAACTTAAGTAACTTTCATAAATAACCAATTTCACTTTGTATACACGCTATGCTCAATTATTGACAAAATGTCACTATTTCTTGATAGAAAGAAAATTGAAATTTCAGATTTAATCAGATTAAATGCAAACTAGGATAAATTATTAATCCTATTCCAGAAAAAGAAAGAAGGGATGTGGAATTCAGTGACTTGCAGGAGAGAGAACCACATATTGAAAGTTCAGTTCCTTCACTATTGCAGTATGGAAAGAGGTTACCTAAAGTACTCAGTGGAGGAAACTTTATTTTATTTACTTGGGAAGAATATACACATCACACAAAGGGCAATGAAAAACAGATTGGTGGAGTTTTCTAAGTTGAGGTGATGCTGTTTTTTAAGCACTGTGGTGAGTTATTAGGTTGTGATATCATCCACTCCAGTCTTAAAACCACAAAGCAGCTAGCTGTTTGAATGAACTAGTACAGACTCTTTAAAAGCAAAATAGCCACTAGAAAAGAAATACTTTTCCTGAAAAGTATCTTTCAAGAAATTAGGAAATGTGTCTACTACACATTGTGTTTGGTTTGCTCACTTTCCTTGACTTGACGCCACACACGTTTTCTCTCTTCTCTCCTTTCCCCTGACATAAGCCGGCTCACTCCCTGCCACAACACTTAGGTGATCAGGAGCTGCCTCCCCCAGGCTGGCACTTCACAGCAAGACCTGATTTGAAAAGTAAACCCAACCTTCTTACTTATAAAATGAAACAAAAACAAATCCTCAGAGGCAGAGTGTCCTCCCTGCCAAAGTCTCACTAAACTGGCGATCAAGGCTCCAGTGAAAAACCTGCTTTGATCATTTCACAGGAAATATTACAACCTAAATTTAACCAAAAAAGTCATTCATGTTTTTGGTAATCTTCAAATTTTATTTCCAACTTCTGCAGTAACAAAATACCAGTGGTAATTCTGCATTGAAAGTAGTAACCTTTAAAGTAGACAAGGTCACAAATTCGTATTCCAACAGTACTTTGGCCTATGAAGATTTTGATAGATACAATCAGACTCATAATACTATACTTTTGCTTCCTCCATTGTAATAAAAATATTCACCTCACCTCAATGATTCAACATGTGCACACGTCTGCTCTTTATAAGCACGGTCCTTCCACAGCTGTTCTAATGTGAGGGGAAACCCCTCCTGCTCCTGGATTTTTCTACAGCACACAGAAACAGCAATTGCTTCAGCAGTAATGTACAATATTAGATTTTTAGTTGAAAAATAAATGAATGGATTACCCTATTTATGTTCTTTCTCTGGGAGTAAAAAGACACACACCACTGAAAACGTAAAATAAGCCAAACTTCTATTTTATTGACAGGAGTCCAAAACGAATACAAAAAAGCCTCCTTTGCGGGTTATATTTACTTTCCTTGAAGGCTTCTGATAAAGTCAGGTAGATTAAAAGCTAAGAATGTAGTTCAGCTTTTACAGTGAACTTTAAAAAAATGATTTAATAACATAAGCCACCAATATCAGAGAATATCTGGTCCCACAATCACTTTCAGACCTATCAGCTTATGAAAAGAATCAGATCCTGCATTGATCTGCTAAGACAGAGGCTTAAATTTATTAAGCCATTAAAAGCTATTTCCATAATCTGTCTGATAACTGTGAGCAATTACGAAAAGGAAAAGTCTGAATTGTAGCCCTCTATATTATGTGGAATGTGAAGAAACGCCAACTAATGACCAAGATAGGTAAAAATGAAAGGTTTAAATCTATAAATGGAGCTGCTATAGTTTTTATCACTGTAAAATGTCAATAAGTGAATAACAGAGCTTATCAAGAGATTATAAACTTGGCAGATGTTACTTAAAACATTTGTGGTGTTTATCATACATTAATGTTTACTGAAACTAAAGCTGAATGAAGAAAAGTTGCTCATTGATAGATTTTCATGTACCTTTACTTTTACCTGGACCATACATTGATCAGATAATACATAGCCCACACTTATGGACAGTTATAATAACAAAGGATTTATTATCATTTGCAGATGAAATAAATGCACCATCCCATACTTGACAGGCTCCAATAAGCCTTGAGCATTTTCAGATTGTACCAAGGCTCCACCGCTGCCTAGTTTTATTATGCACAGACTTCTAGAGTAAAGAAACTAAGACCTCCCTCCCTCAACATCACTTCTGTCCTGTTTCTGGTTTATTATACACTTCCAAAACAGCAACATTTTACAAAGATGTGCAGAGACTGTGGTCCGTTCAGAGAACTGCTTAGTCATCATCTTCCTCTTCCTCTTCTTCTTCCTCAAAGCTATCTTCAAAGCCCTCACTGTCCTCCTGGTCTTCATCCCCCTCTATTGCTGTGTCCCACTGTGGGTGATTTTCTGGCACAGGCTTAGCCTCATGAACTTCCAACTGGAAAAAATTAAACATAGATTATCAAAAATTTGGGGAGAAATAATGGAAGAAAAATCTGATAAACAAATAGTTTTATCTGACCACAGCAATTATAAAGAAACATTTTTATGGGTATAACATATTTAACACATTCATTCAGAATAAATACTTCATCCTAGAAATAAAACAAGTAAATATGACATCTTAATAGAAGTCTTCTGCTGAAAGAAGAAAAAAAGACCTATTTTGTAGCCTCTAGACTTACAAATTAAAAGTGTGTAGCCAATGAAAAAATATGGAACAGTCATGGGGAAAAAAAGAGCCTTTACTGGCTTCCCTCTGCTCTCTATAGCGCGATAATACTCTAATAGCATCTCTCCAACATAAAGGAATGCCTTGATACTTACAGAACCCATTTGCTGAGGCCCTATAAAGTTACAACATATTACAGTACATTAAGATTTATCAATAAAGCAATTTAAATTACGCAGTTACTCAAATGGAAAAATGTCATTTGTTAGAGTCATGATTCTTACCTTCAATGGTTTAATCTGATCCAAACCCATATAAGAGTCTGATCTCAGAAACACCGTATACTGATAATTTCCAGGCTTGCCTGGTGCAGGAAACTTCAGTTCTACCTAGAAAATAAAATCAGTACTTAAGAATCCAAATTTTGAGGAGGAAATGTACTCCTAATATTCCTAGACCAGAGTATTTAATTAACAGTCAGGTGTTTACTCAACTGATAATGTTAACCAATGTTATAAAAGTCCTAACAATGTTGTATTATTATACTACATGAAAAGGAAAAAAAATTATGCAAAATTAATGGAGTTAATTTCCTTCTCCACAGTTCAGGAAAGCAGACTGAAAGCTACCCAAACCTATGTGGACCATCACCTCCATAACTTGAAGAAATTAAATAAGGTATAAAAGTAAACGTAATTCTGGAATAAAATAAGAGACCTGATGAAAAAGGAGATAATTCTTGCCAAATTTTCTTATTTCCAGAATAAATACCTAATGCTCTAAAAGGTCAAGAGAATATCTTATTTTCTAGTAAATCATAAACTCCAAATTCAAACAGTAACAAATTCTTAGAAGTTTCTACTTCACTTAGACAAAGGAAAGAGTAAATTTTTTTAAATGACATTTGAATGCTCTAGTGATCTGCCTCCGAAATCTGTATTTTATAGCCAGGATTACATATTAAAATATACCAATAAGGAAAAAAAAAACTTAAAAAAAGATGAGGGAGAATCTTTAAAGAAAGATTAATCTAGGCAGTGCATGTGGCCCAAAGGAGTAGGGTGCCGGCCCCATATGCTGGAGGTGGTGGGTTCAAATCTAGCCCCGGCCAAAAACTGAAAAAAAAAAAAAGATTAATCTCAGTTTCGCTTTCTAACTATAACAGAAACCTATAAACTATATAAGAAAAATGTCTAAGCCATAACAATTAGGTAAGACAAAGAAATAAAGGGCATTCAAACTGAAAAATAAAGAAGTCAAATGGCCCATTTGTAAACCACATGATCCAATATATAGAAAAACCCAAAGTTTCTACCAAAAAAACTCTTAGAATTGATGAATTCAGTAAAGTTATAGTTCATCAGTAAAGTTACTGATGAATTCAGTGAAGTTACAAACTTTCAAAAATCAGTAGTGTTTCTATACACAAAGAACTAGCTGAAAGAAAAATCAAGAAGGCAATCTCATTTAAATACCTAGGAAAAAAATTAACCAAGAAGAGAATCACTTAAGCCCAAGAGTTTGAGGTTGCTGTGAGTTATGATATCATGGCATTCTACTGAGGGTGACAAAGTGAGACTGTCTTGAAATAAATAAATAAATAAAAATAAAAATGGGCAATGAACTGAATAGATTTTTCTGAAAAGAAGACATACAAATGGTCAACAAGTACATGAAAAAAATGCTCACCATCACTAATCAATCATCAGAGAAATGCAAATCAAAATCACATCACTACGCCCCAGTTAGGATGGCTATTACCAACAAGACACAGGCTGATGAGAATGTACACAAAAAGGACTGCTTATACACTGTTAGTGGGAATGTAAACTAGTTCAGCCACCATGGAGAAGAGTATGGAGGTCCTCAAAAAACTATAAATAGCACTACCACACGATCTAGCAATCCCACTACAGGGAATTTATCCAAAGGAAAGAAATCGGTACATTGAAAAGACATCCGCACCCCCATGTTTATAGAAGCACTATTCACAATCGTCATGATATAGAATCAACCTAGGTGTCCAACAAAGATGAATGGATAAAGAAAATGTAGTGTATACACATACACAATGGAATACTATTCAGCCATAAAAATGAATGAAATCCTGTCATTCATGGCAACATGGATCAAACTGAAGAACATTATGTTAAGTGAAATAAGCCAGGAACAGAAAGCTAAACACCACATGTTCTTACCCATATGCAGAAGCTAAAAAATGCTGATCTCATACAAATCAAATTAAGAGTAGAACAGAAGATACTAGAGGCTGGGAAGGGTAGGGAGAAGGAAAGGATAGGAAAAGAGTTGTTAAAGGACACAAAATTATAGCCAGTAGGAGGAATAAATTCTAGTTGTCTGTGTCAACTGTAGGATGTTAATAATGTATCATTTCAAATAGCTAGAAGGAGGTTATTGAATGTTTCCAACACAAAAAAATGATCAATGTTTGAGATGGGTATGCTAATTACCCTGAACGGACCGCTATACGCTGTATATGTACCAAAATATCACTATGTACCCCATGAGAATATATTATTATTTGTCAACTAAAAAAATAAAATTAGGCCAGGTGCAGGGGCTCGTGCCTGTACTTCTAGCACTCTGGGAGGTGAGCTAGAAGGTGGGAAGATCCCTTGAGCCCAGGAGTTTGAGACCAGCCTGAGCTAGAGTACAATCTCATCTCTACTAAAAACAGAAAAAATCAGCTGAGCATCATGGCAGGCACCTGTAGTTCCAGCTACTTGGGAAGTGGAGGCAGAAGGAACATTTAGACCCAAGCAGTTCAAAAGGTTCCTGTAAGCTAGGCTAATGCCAAAGTATTCTAGCCTGGGCAACAGAGTTAAGACTGTCTAAATAAATACATTCACATGAAAAAATGCTTGTCTTTAATCATCAGGGAAATGCAAATCAAAACCACTTTGAGATATCACCTAACTCCAATAAGATTAGCCCACATCACAAAGTCCCAAAACTGAAGATGCTAGCTTGGATATGGAGAGAAAGGAACTCTTCTACACCGCTGGTGGGACTGCAAACTAATATAACCTTTATGGAAAGAAGTATGGAGAATTTTCAAAGAACTAAAAGTGGACCTTCCATTTGATCCCACAATCCATTACTAGGTATCTACCCAGAAGAACAAAAATCATTTTACCACAAAGACATCTGCACCAGAATGTTTACTGCAGCTCAGTTCATAATTGTCAAGTCATAAAAGCAAGCCAAATGCCCATCAATCCATGAAGGGATTAATAAATTGTGGTATATGTACACCATGGAATACTATGCAGCCATAAAAAGATGGAGACTTTACATCTTTTATGTTTACCTAGATGGAGTTGAAGCACATTCTTTTTAGTAAAGTTATCTTGAAAATGAAAAAAATTGTATCCAATGTACGAAATATGAATATGAAACCAATATATAAACACAAATATGAATGATAAAACACAAATATAGTCTAGCAAAGGGGAGAGGTGAGGAGGGGGAAGGAGGGAGAACATTTGGCACAATGAGAGGGTAATCAGCATGTCCCTCTGGGTGTGCAGCTCTCCTACAACTTGAACTTGATCTTGGAAGTGAGAACAATGTACCCTAAAAATTTGTTCTCTCATAGTAATTTGAAATAAAAAAAAAATAATTCAAATTTCTAAACATACTACAAAAATAAGCAAATGAATGAACAAATATTTACATTTCTTTTTGGTAAAAAAAAAAAAAACCATATTAGTAAAACAAAATAGGGATAAATAGTTGCAATACATATCACAAAGAACAGATTCCTTAACAATTAAAAAAAATTCCTCAACCAAGTTAAAAGACCCAACAAAAATGAATAATGGCTACAGACACACAGAAAAATATGACTCAAAACACTGAAATAGAAAATTAAAACTACACAGAATCCACTGTGTAACTTCCGCAGACGGGAAGTTAATTCACACAAGAGTCATCAATGTGGTTTGTCACCTGTAGCTCAAGAGGCTAAGGCGCCAGCCACATACACCAGAGCTGGCGGGTTAGAATCCATCCCAGGCCTGCCAAACAATGACAGCTACAACCAAAAAAAAAAGCCAAGTTGTGTGCCTGCGGTCCCAGTTACTTGGGAGGCTGAGGCAAGAGAATAGCTTAAACCCAGGAGTTGGAGGTTGCTGTGAGCTGTGATGCCACAGCACTCTACCCAGGGTGACAGCTTGAGGTTCTGTCTCAAAAAAAGAAAAATCATCAATGTATGCTACATGAGTAGGCAATACCTTTACATTAGAGAAAAGCCTTAACTAAACAAGCAACCTTACATAATATCACCAAGGTAAGGTAAGCTGGTATGATGTACCCCTGATGTGATACACTCAGAAATACAAAATATGTCACCAATGAAGTACACTTGCCAAAAAAAATTAAGATAAAATGATAAGTAACCAATGAAATAAATTAAGTGATAGTTTGCAAAAATACTCTGCCTGACTCTTAAAAAATGTCAATGGCATGAAAGAGTAAAATGAAAAAGGACAAGGACAAATGTTCTAGAATAAAGAGGCATGAAACTAAAGACTACATGTCATCCTTGATTAGATTCTGAATTTTAAAACAAAACAAAAACTATAACAGACACTAGTGGAATATTTGAGAAAATGTGGATATGTACTACACATTATCAATAGATAATAATGCTGCATCAACGTTCAATTTCTTGAGTATAATGATTGCATTGTGCTTATAAGAAGGCCCTAAGTTCTTAGGAGACTTATGTCAAGAATTTAAGATGCCATGTCACGATGTCTGTAGAAAGTTCAAACTGATCAGGAAAAAAGGCACACACATACACATATATATATATTTTATGTGTGTACACACCTAAGGTGAAAAAGAAAAAACAAATTCAGCAAATTGCAAACAATTAGTAAATGCAGGTGAGGATCTATGGAGGTTTCATGATACTGTGCTTGTAGCTTTCGGTACGTTTTAAATTTATTAAAATAAATGATTAGAGGGAAATAACACTGAGATGCATTTTTCCCCCTATCTGACTACCAATTACACTCGAAATGCCTGACATGCTAAGAGGTAGGCATAGTTAAGACATTCATTCTTCCTATAAAGAATAAATACCTAGCAATATCTCTCAAATTTACAGATGTACCTCTGGCTCACCCCTATAAATTTATCATTAAACTATTTCATACATTTACCAGTTGGTTAAGAAGGTTAAAAATCATTGTATTAAATATCAACATTATAATACTATCTTGAAATGTAACAGTCTTGCCCTTGTCTACCAAGTCCAGGAGTCAGAACCTTCTTCCTAGAGAAAATGTCTCTTTTTCATACACACACACACACAAAATCAAGAAGAAAAACAAAACAGAATGTAATTCACAATGGTTAAATATGTTCATATACTTTAATGATGGCATTAACAGTGAACATTCCCACATAATCAAAAATCCCATTCAAAAAACCCTAAATCACTAATTCTTAGATTATCTTTAACACAAAAAAGTATAAATACTTAGCATTAATCCAATTAAGAACAAAAATTATAATTTTTTATAAAATACCATTAATCCTGGGGAAGAGAGGGAAAGATATATGTATTTAGACACTAATGGTGAAAATCCCTCAAAACAAGTTGAGAACAGGTTTTTTTGGGGGGAGGCGGAGGTGGAAACAGGGTCTCACTATGTTACTTAGGCTAGTCTCCAACTCCTGGCCTCAAGTGATCCTTCTGCCTCAGCTTCCCAAAGTGCTGGGACTACAGGCATAAGCCACCAGGCCTGGCTGAACAAGTTCTTAAAAGACTGACTATCTCTAACAATTCTTTATAAATTTACAAAGAGCTTACCTTCCTACCAAAACATCAGAGAAGAGTTGTAAAATATGTCATAATACAGTAAGACAGATGTGATAAACTGCTTTATTTAAAAAAATATTTTACAAAGCAACAACATGATGAGATGCTGTAACTGTTAAAAACTGAAATAATGTTGAATAATTACCTCTTCTGTATCTTTTAGTGTACACACATGATATGGCATAGATATTAGTGTCTGCTCCTTCCTATCTGCAATATAAAGCCACCACCATTCCTGCTTTTCCTGGAAAGAAAAAAAAAAAGGTATAAATAATCAGAAAGAACTACAGAAACTAGATTTCAGAGTTATTTCAGAGATACTACCCTTGGTTTGTTCACTGCTCCACTCCTCCACTTGACAGTGTGTAGGTTAAAAAATAGGGGTTTAACAAATACTAAGTGGAATTAATACATTGTTCTTAACCATTTGTACATCTGTTACCCAGAAGAATTTTATATGTAATTTTTAGAAGTTTCAATGGCTCCTTAACCCATTTATGCCAGAGGCTGAAATTTTTGAATTTTTTGCATGATTTTTTTTTTTTTTTGACAAGCTCTCAGCATGCCTGTATCTGCAGCAGTGACTCTGTGCACCACACGATAGCAAGTACCCTCAGGAGACAGACATGTGAAAAATCAGACCTCAGCAATGACCTTGAGCAACAGAATATAAATAACTCCCACATCACTACCATCCCAATAATGGAACGTGAGGCATAAATGCGTTAATGGCCTCTATATTAAGAACCCCTGATTTAGCTTAAATGACAAAAGATTTTCCAAAGAAAAAACAATATAAACTATTAAAATAGCATGTTGCAAATAACCTCAGTAATTTTAATAAGGAAAAGTCACAAAGTAGCAGTGGAAAGGACTTAACCAAATAAAAAATCAATACATTAGGACACATTACATTCTTACAAGAGAACATCTTAGAATCTAAGAACCTATTTATGCCTTTCGCTGCCCATGATCTTAATGAGCTTGGCATTTAGTCCAAAAAGATTAGGAACAACAACAAAAAAGAAGTAAAGAAACCACCACCACTGCTAGGCACAGTGACAGCAGGGAGAACGGAAAGAACCAAGACAGAAAATTTGTTTTAAAAAAATGTAGAAGGCCAGGGTGGCGCCTGTGGCTCAAAGGAGTAGGGCTCCAGCCCCATATGCTGGAGGTGGTGGGTTCAAACTCAGCCCCAGCCAAAATCTGGAAGAAGAAAAAAAAAAAAGTAGAAGGCCAAGCAATCTGAAAGCACCAAGTCTCAGTGTGCTCAGCAACTACCCGGTGACTGTTTATTCATCTGCTTAGTATCATTTCTTTAAGAAATTGGGTAGGGAAAACATCTTTCTATAGTAGTTTAAAGAAAAATGTTTTGCAGCTTAAAAACTCTCTCAGTTGTCCACAATGGTTAAAAAATAATTTTATTAAAAAAGTTTCTTTATGGCCAGTCATGGTGGCTGCATGCCTATAATCTTAGCACCCTGGGAGGCCAAGGCAGCTGAAGTGCTTGAGCTCAGCAGCTCAAGAGTGAGACTCCATCTCTACTAAAAATAAAAAAAAAACTATCCAGGCACTGTGGTCACACCGGCTATACCCTGTACTCCAGAGGCTAAGGCAAGATGATCACCTGAGCTCATGAGTTTGAGGTTGCTGGGGCTATGATGACACCACAGCAGTCTGCCTACCCAGGGCAAGAGAGTAAGACTCTGTCTTTAAAAAAAAAAAAAAAGAAAGTTTCTTGAGAAAATGTGTTTTAAAACTAAAATTGCTATACTTTCTATTTTAACAATGAGATTAGAATTTGGCTTATTATCTTTCTAATATCACACTAAGTTAAACTAAAAACTCTTCTGTTTAAATATCTTATGACTACAAAGTGCTACAACAATAGCCTCATAAATAAGTTACGTATGCAGGCTGTGAGCAGCAGCTAACAAGAAAATTAAACTGTGTTCTACAGCAGGGACATTATTGGTATATAAGGTATCATGTTTGTCTTTTGTGTTGTGCACACACAAAGTGTGTAAAAACACAATAGACTCAAAGTACAGTAGTAATACTGGGCTCTGTAGGCCAGAGTCGCTGTTGAGCCCACTCAAATCTGTTCTTGCAGCATGAAAAGAATGAGTGTAGCTGTGGTCTAACAAAACTTTATTTACAATAAAGCCTTATTTACAAAAATAGGCAGGGAGCTAAATTTGACTTGCAGGCTACAGTTTGTCAATATATATATTTTTGAGATACAGTCTTACTCTGTCACCATGCTATAGTGCAGTGGAATCATTATAGCTCACTACAACCGCAAACTCCTGGGCTGAAGCAACCCTCCTGCCTCAGCCTCCAGAGTAGTTGGAACTACAGCCCCACGCCCATCTAATTTTTGTCTTTTTTTTTTTTTTTTGAGACAGAGTCTCAAGCTGTCACCCTGAGTAGACTGCCATGGTGTCACAGCTCACAGCAACCTCAAACTCTTGGGCTTAAGTAATTCTCTTGCCTCAGCCTCCTAAGTAGCTGGGACTACAAGTGCCTGCCACAACACCCAGCTATTTGTTGTTGTTGCAGTTGTCACTGCTGTTTAGCTTGCCCGGGCCGGGTTCAAACCCACCAGCCTCGGTGTATGTGGACGTTGTCCTACCCACGGAGCTATGGGTGCTGCCCTAATTCTTCTATTTTTAATAGAGGGTCTCACTTTTGCTCAGGCTGCTCTCTAACTCCTGACCTCAAGCTATACTCCTGCCTCAGTCTGCCAGAGTGGTAGAATTACAGCTGTGAGCCACTGTACCAGGCTGGTATCTGTTTTAAAGCCACACAGACTTAGATGATTTTTACCTCCCTAAAATTGTACTTTCCTTCTCTGTTAAACAATTAGTACCTGCCTCTGGCCATGCTGTGAAGATGAACTGAGATAATATAAGTAAAATGTAAGTCAGAGTGCCAAGCACAGAGTGTAATAAATGGTGATTATTAGTGAAATGAGTGAGGTACAATGACATTTCTTTTTCTTTTTTTTTTTTTTTGCAGTTTTTGGCCAGGGCCAGGTTTGAACTTGCCACCTCTGATATATGGGGCAGGTGCCCTACTCCTTCAGCCACAGGTGCTGCCCAAACATTTCTTTTTATTTGAATGGTTCTGACAACTTAGAAATATCATTCCATGTATAAAATACATAACAGCAGAGGGATGTAAATTCAGGAATGTGCATTTCATCTTTACTCCCCCACCTAGAGAATGCTCTTCTCTCCATTCCCCTAGGCTGTTTAATTAAACTAGATTCACTCTAGTTTAAGAAGCCAGTGAATATCAATCAGTGGCATTGCACCTGTGCCTAGACTCTTTAATAAACATGTTAAAAATGAAACATATGTTCTGAGTTACCTGTACTTTAAACAAAATTGTTTTTCTGTTGTGTGAGATTCCCAACCATTCTTAAAATATTAAGTTATAGTAAATGATTTCAATAACTTATTAAGTGGGTAGTTTGGTATCTGGGTTACGTAGGTAAGGTATTACTAATACATGAGAAGGTAGACAAAGTAAATGTTAGAATAAGCCTAAATACGTTTTATCTGATAAAGGGTACTTGGAGATGTTTACCATGCAGAGGCAGATTAAATCTGAAAAAGGCATTTCACTGACAGAATGTTCTAAGGGGGTGAATGAATGTTTCACTTATTAACTAAGCATGGTCTAAATGTAACTGTCTGTTGTTATATGGGTACAAATTATGCAGCTTACAGCTTCCCATGACACTTTTAAACCAATGAATGAGTGGAATTTATTCGCTTGATTTCAGGATGCTTGGTGTTGGCAGACTACCTCTGCAATGGGCAAAATGCCCCGAACAGATGGCCAGAAGATCAGCATGTGCATGAAGACGGAATCCTGGGCAGACTTCTCTCCAAGTCAAAACAACAGTCTGTGCAGAGCTACTCATTTATTACTAGAAGAGCCAAATTATTTAAGAATTTGCCTTAAGCAGTCCCCCAAAACTCTGGATTGACATTCTCAAGCAAAAAGCAGATTTATACATGAAATCACCTGCCAAACACAAGTGGTAAGCAGAAGGTTCTGTGGCAAAGCTGTGAGGCAGTCTGTGCAACAGTTTCCCTGAACCGGAAAGAAATCAGTTCTTGACCTCTGCTTCACAGACGGAATCCTCAAATGCCAAATGTCAAGGAAATCCCAAAATAATTTGAAAGACAAATAACATAACAAGGAGATGAAAAGTTAAGCAGGCCATGACAAGGACAAGGGAGTAAACAGCATTGTAATAAACTGTCCTGGGCTTGGGGCTCAGTCATGCTCAACTTTTACTGAACTTTGCTCAGGGCCAAGAACACAGCTGGTCCCACAACCCTGGGCTCACTGGTTCCCATGGACTGAAGCAATTACCAGGACCAGAGCCAGTCTAGGGGCTCCACATGACCAATACAGGACTCTCAAGGGAAACGGTAAGGTTTTCGTCTTATTTAGACTTCGCAGGGGTGACAGATTCAGAATGGCCAAGCAGTCCAAGGTGAAGTAAGTGTGTGTCTGATGAAGACTGCCCCAACAGCTACTAGGAAATAACCACTAAGTACAACACTCAGTAATAAGGGCACAGGAAACTGCAGAAATCCTTAAAAAGTTAACAATCTTCCTTTTAAACAACACATTTGCTAAGTGTAATTCTTATTATAATATATCCCCTAAAAATGTGGCCTTTCAAGAATGGGCCACACTTATCACACTTGAGCTAGTGTGACAAAAGTCTGGACAGAGGTTAACAACATTTGTGGGTAACTCACCTCAGGAAAGTAAAGACTATACACAGGATGTGTTATCTTTGATTTGGTTTCCAACAGAGCTCTCTCCTTTCTCTGAATACTTTGTTGTAATTCTTGCCACTCCTAGGAAAGAAAAAATTAAAATGTTTGAAATCTAGCATGTTTCTGACCATTTTGAGGAGTTTCTGACAATGCTAATTAATTACATAGGTTAAAACAAGTTCAGCCCCACAAATCTCATCATCTCCCTGCTCAAATTCCCCATGAATTTCTTTTGTAAATCAATCTAACTTCTGCAGCATAAACTGCACAACTGCTCGTGATCTGACCCTGGCCTGCCCCTCCAGTCTCCTGTCACTGCCTTCTCTGCACCTTTTATTCTAGTCATATCAAAATATCCATGCTTCTCTGAATTACTAAACTATTTCACTCCTTCATAACAGTGTTTGGATTTTTGTTTTTCCCATTCTCTGCCTACTCATTGTTCTCTCAGGACCAGCCTAGAATATGAACTCCTCCCACAAATTTCAACTTTCCTTATGTATCTTGCAGAAAATGTATACAATCTCTTGTTTAGTCACTGTAACGATTATTCACAAATCTGTCTGCCCCATTAGCTTTCATATCATTCAAGAGCAGAAACCATTTCACATTGAGCTTTGCATTCCTTTCATCTAAGGCAGCCTAGGGATGTGACAGATAATTATTTGTCAATTGAATGCATATAATTTTGGCCATCCGAAGAGTCTAGTTATCCAAACTCTCAGAGTCACCTCTACTAAGTGACCCTAACATATTCAGAAAAAAATATGTCAACTCTTTCTTGAAATGGGGCTGAAGAAATAATTTCTTTGACAGATTTTCTGGCAATTAATTTAATCCTCAAAGTACAAAGCTAAGCAACTGCTAAAAACAATCACCCTTATTTGTTTTCTACCATTACCAAGGATGGGTACATTACTTCCTTATACTTTTTTTTTTTTTTTTTAAGAGACAGGGGCTAACTCTCTTGCCCAGGCTGGAGTGCAGTGGCACAATCATAGTTCACTATGAAGTCCCAGGCTCAAGCCATCCTCTTGAGTTGCTGCGACTATAGGCATACGTCACCATGCTGGGCTTTTTTTTTGAAGAGCAATGTCTCACTATATTGTCCAGGGTGATCTCAAACCCCTGCCCTCTCAAAGTGTGGCAGAGACACCATGCCCACCTACACTTTCATATCCTTTGACCTCTACTGCTTTCTCTTTTTGGCTTTCCTTTTCCTTCAGAGGCCATTCAGGTGAACCCTTTTTTTCTCCCAAACCATGAGCGTTACTTTTAGATTAACTGTCTAGTGAAAAAGAACAACATTAATAAACATAAAGGAAATAGTCCATCAGTTTACAGCTCATTTGCAATGAGCATCTAAGGACGGCATTCTTCTCCATGATCCTCCCATAAATTACGTGTAATTTAATGTCATGAGGTTTTTCTATATTCCATACTCTTACCCTAGTAATTCATTAAAGACTCATCCTGTCCTTCTTAAATAAATACATCGTGAACAAGGTTGTGTTTTATAAATGTTTGCTTTGTCCTTAGCCAACCCCTTCACATCAGGGCTCCCAGTACTATTTCTTTACCCTCAACATTACTCGGAACCTGTGAGATAACCTTCCAATAACTGCTATCTGTTTTGCAAACACCTTTCCTTGCTCATTTCCAGAGACACTCCCAACATTGAAAATTTCCTTATGAGACCAAAGTGAATTCATGTCAGACCCAGGTCCTACTCTACCTAACAATGTAAGATTTAAGAAAATTAGGATGTCTAATCCTTATCAGAAATAATTTTTCTTTACAACTCTGACCATCATTCTTCAAAAATGTTCTTACAAAGTAACAAGATTATAAAATATATGGATATTGTTTAAAACCAGCAAACACGCAAACAACCCAAAACAACTGTCAGAGGTTTAATTCCAATTATGAAACCTATAAGTCTTACTGCTTCATCATCTTTGTTTTGTTTTTCATCTTGCTCTCTATCAGATTCTCTGTCACTACCATCATCTTTTTCACTCTGGGAATCTCTATTGGTTTCTTCTTCCTCAGAATCGCTGCCTTTATCAGAAATTTCTTCTTCATCTTCCTTTACTGCAGCTTCCTAGAAGGGAAAAGCAAGCACCAAGGTTCTAAATTTCTCAATGAATATATATCAGCCTGAGTTCTCGCACAAACTTATTGTCAACATAACTAACCTGGCTCAAGATCACAATTTCACTATTCATACAAAATTTTGGAAAATTATAAACATACTTGGTTTGTCTAATGTTCTTTATTTATTTATTTTTTGAGACAGAGTCTCATTATGTCGCCTTGGGTAGAATGGCATGGCGTCACAGCTCACAGCAATCTCCAACTCTTGGGCTGAAGCGATTCTCCTGCCTTAGCCTCCCAAGTAGCTGGGACTACAGGTGCCCACCATAACACCCAGCTATTTTTTTGTTGCAGTTGTTTAGCGGGCCCAGGCTGGGTTCAAATCCGCCATCCTTGGTGTTACGTGGCTGGTGCTGTAATCACTGTGCTACGGGTGCCAAGCCTGCCTGTTATTTTATTCAGTCTTTGTAGTTTATAAAATAAATATATTTGCACATATTTATTGTTATTTGCAAAGTATACTACCACAATGGCTAAGATCCACTTTTAAAATCATCAATTATACAATATGTTTTATTTGAAAAGGGAAAATAGGAAGTTTACAGGAAAATATTATTTTAGAAGTTTAAGATAGTTTTTGTTAACTGACAAGGTACAAAGCAGTAAGAAAAGCCGTACCTCGGGCAAAACACTAGCCCATTTCAAAAAGCAAGAAAAAATAACAGCAAATTAAATGCAAAGAAAGTAAAAAACAGGCTACAAATCAAGAAAAAAGAAAGCAGGTAAAAGATTCAAAACCAAAACTTGGGCTCAGTGCCTGTAGCTCAGCAGCTCAGAGCACCAGCCACATACACCGGAGCTGGCAGGTTCAAATCCAGCACAGGCCTGCCAAACAACAATGACAACTGCAACCAAAAAATAGCTGGGCACTGTGGCAGGCGCCTATAGTCCCAGCTCCTTGGGAGGCTGAGGCAAGAGAATTGCTTAAGTCCAAGAATTAGAGGTTGCTGAGGGCTGTGATGACACAGCACTCCACCAACAATGTCAAAGTGAGACTCTATGTCAAAAAACAAACAAACAAAAAGTTGGTTCTTTAAAAGATTAATATAATTTATTAAACCCCAATAAAAGAATGTATAAGAAAAAAAGAAAGAATATAAATTACCGAGATTTGACATAAAAGAGATATAACTATATCCAACAGACATTTTAAAAATAAAAGGATATTATAAATTTATGCCAACAAATTTAATAACTTAGAGAAAATAGACAAATTCCTTGGAAAACATAATTTACTAAAAATCAGTAATAAAAATGCAAAATATATGTTAAAGAAACAAACTCCACAACTAGACCTTTTTTCAAAACTCCAGGCTCAGATTGTTCTTCTCCCTAGAGAATTATTCCAAAGAAGAAACAAATGCAAACTTATATAACCTCTTCCAAAAATAAAAGGAGAACGCTTTCAAACTTTGTTAATAAGGCCACCAGAAAAAACTGAACAAGGATATTACCAAAAAGGAGAATGACAAACCAATATTTGCTCATAAAAATATAGGCAGGAAACAAAATATCAAATCCATATAAATATAAAAAAGGATACTGTGTTATGACCAAATGAGATTTGTTCCAGGAATGTAAGAATAGTTTCAAATATTTAAATCAATCTACATAATTCACTACATTAACATTAAGGAGGAAAACAGAACAATCTACATAGATACAGAAAAAACAGTTAATAAAATTCAATACACACTCGAGATAAAAATTCTCAGCAACTGGGAATAGAAGGGAACAATTCCTTAACTTGTTGAAGAGTATCTACAAAAACTCTACCGCTAACATCATGCTTAGTGGTAAAATACTGCTTGCTTTCTCCCTAAGATCAAAAAGATGAGAAGGCCATCTGCCATCATCACTCCTCACCAATATTACACTGCAAGTGCTCGCCAGCACAGAAGGGAGAAAGGAGGAAAAGAAGAGCATAGAGATTAAAAGAAGAAAGTAAAACAGTCTTTATTCACAGATAACAAGATTGTATATAAGGAAACCTTAATTAAAATATCTATAAATTATTAGAATTATCAATTCATTAAGACTCCTGGATACAAGGTCAGTATTTGGAAAGCAACTGCATTTCTATATACCAGCAACAAACACTGAAAAATTACATTTTTTAATGCCATTTATAATAACACTAGAAAGGATCAAATACATAGCAGTGAATCTAATAAAAGATGTGCCATACTTCTGCCACTGGAAATTATAAAACATTGCTGAGAAAAATGAAGGAACATCCAAATTAATGAAGACAAATCAAAATCGTGAATAAAAAGACTCAGTATTGTTAACATGTTAATTCTCC